TTTTTTCTAGCAGCAAGAAAAAAGCAGAAAGAGGAGAAGACGAGGCTCTTTCTGTTTTTTTATTTCTACTAGAAGTATACTTATGCAGAGGCGTTCGTTACCACGGTGTTCGTTACAAATATGGACATTTTTTTACATGACCTACGCGCGAACCGACTTCAAGCAGCAAGACAAGTATCGCGTTTTCCGTACTTTCATTCGCAATAACAAATTTCGGCTGAAAAACAACAAAAAATGAAAGACGTTTACAGCACTCTGTAACGCCGAATTAGAGCGCAGCTGTTGAGGAGGAGGAGGGAAGGCTATACCCCTCCCCTCCTCTTCCTCCAAGCGCGTTGCATCATGGGAAATGTCCCATAATGCACCGCGCGGGACCCTCGTGACGTCACACGAAACATCACGAGGGTCCCGTGCTGTGCATTATGGGACATTTCCCATAATGCACCGCGAGGTTACGCCGACGGCGACGCCGCTCAAGCCGGAAACGGGCGCCTAAGAGCTGCGCTCTAAAAGGTTTGTTTATTTAGATATTTCGCACTCGGTGCGTTGTGGCCAAAACCCACGCGTTCTGAAGCGTGTCGAGATCTCTTACGTTGCTGTTGCCGAAGAAGTTGTCACTCTTTAAGCTGAGACTGAGAGTAGAAGCTCCGCCTTCAGCACGAGCTCGCTGGCTTCCGCGGTGCTTTGGTTGCGCGTGCCTGCGCGTGCACGCTTATGTTATGAAGGGCAGAAAGCTCGCGCTGAATGTACTTTGCGCAAAGACCGCTTAGAACGGATCCCTGACGTTAATGATCTGCGAAACACCCGTTCGTCTTTCACCACACGCAATCGAAGTCACAGAAAAAAAAGAAAAACGAGCAGGCTTTTTTTCTCAACTCGCAGTCAGAACAAGAGGCCACTTGATCCGGAGCCAATTATATGCCGCCAATGTTGATCATAGCCACGCGCTGGGGTGGGCAAGGCACAGGACACGCGCTGATTTCCAGACGTTGTTTTGGTTCGGCTATTTTCGTCATTGCAGACACGGGCCATTATCCGATAACTTTCTCGAGCTATCGATTATCACGAGCGCAAATCGAGTGCCCACGCAATGTTTGGGTTCAACCTATGAGCCGCATTCAAATCTCATCACTCGAGAATACTGCGATCCCCCAGTTACATCATCAAGTTTCGCGAAGGAGATACTGAATGAAGACGCACGCTTTTGTCCTTGAATTTATACCGCAACAAAGAAGTTCCTTTCCAGTGGCGTTCCGTGCGAGTATCTTTGAGTCCCACTAGTGCCACCAAGCTCGTGTAAAGTGAAAAAAAAATTCCAAATTAATATCGTCGCACCGCACTTTTAAGGGTGAACGGAGTACAGCAACAGCCCGCTCTCGCGGTGATCGGGAGATAGCGAGAAATCGGAACTACTCTTTCTTTTTCCGTTAGAGACGTCGTTTTGCTCCTCTCGCTGAAGAACGCGTTCGTCAATACCGATTTTGACACTTTTTAGGCTGTGCGCGATATCCGAACTTCTTAACTAAGTTGTCGTATTGTCGAAGAAGATTTTCGTGAACGTGTCCTCACTGCGGTCTACAGGTGACTCAGCTGTCGGAAGTCGCTTCAGCAGCAGCAGAAGAAGAAAACAACTGTGCTTCGTAAAAAAATAGAAAATGTCTTGCGCATAGTTAGTACGCTGCGCGAAGAAGTTTTTACAAGATTTGGTTAACGGAGGAACAAGCGATGATTTTTGGCGTTTGAAACGTGTACGTCTTGATAACATATACTTATCTAATATCAAATTCACCTACACATATCTTAATTTTCCACATATAGGCGAAATTCACAATGCTGCGCAAAAAGCCCAACTTTTCTCTTTTTTTTATGATTATTATTACGGTTTTTGAGTTGAAAACGAGTATAGTCATCTGAGACTTCGGAGGTGGATTGTTGCTATACAAAATCATCGCTGTAAACTTCTACAAAAAAAAAAAAAAAAAAAAAAAAAATCTTCGCTACAATTGAGTCTTTGACAGTATATGTGATTATTCCTCTTTTCTCAAACTGTGTTCCTATAGGAACACAGGAGTTACCCTAAGTCACCTCGTGGTTTCCCCGAGCTCACAGATTTTGTCGACCGTCCCCGCCCCTAAGTAAAGTATTTTGTCAGTTTAAGCACAAATTTTAGCAGATCTAAGACAACTATAAATACATAGCTACAAGTCAAACACTTCTAGTATTGTGTGCAAGCTTTGTAAGTTCCCGCAATGGCGTAGCCAGGAGTCATTTTCAGGGTTGGTATTTCCATGACCGGAGAGGGGGGGAGGCTTTGTTCTATTTTTGAGTGTAGTCGATATACTGTACAATACAATTCACAGGTACAGAAACGGCCATTCCCAACCCCCGGCTGCCTGAACAATTCGGAGGTCATTCAATATTTGTCTTCCTCTCCTAAAAAAAAGAAAAAGAATGATTTGGGGGGTCAAGCCCCCCAAATCATCCTTTTTCCCCCTGCCCACGCTACTGGGCTCCTAAACTGCTTGACTTCATTAATGCCGAGGCCGGGACGCATGGAGGTAGGAAGTCTCTGGAGGCGACATGACGTCACCAGAGGCTTCCTACCTACATGCCGGGAGGGGTTCCTCGGCTGTGGATGGATGAATCCTAGCGGCTGTACGCTTTATAACGGGAGGTAGCTCGCGCCACCTAGCCTATAAAAGCTTGAGAACCTCTATACACCAACACGTGGCCCTGACATGACGTCACTGTGGTGGCACTGCTGTCGGCACGGCGCATGCGCAGATGCTTCACTTCGCTCGAATCTGGTTTCTGCGCAAGCGCACTGCCCACACCTGTTGACGGCAAACGCGCCCACTTGTTTGTGAACAGCGATACCAACTGTCCATTGTGATAGGCGTTGTCGCATTTCACGATACTTTCCATGATAGGCACTGTAACTACTGCTAATCTTCGCGAAGATGGATTAACTAAACAGTCAGTAGAGCTACAAGGCGCCCGTGGTGAATCTTTCGCACTAAGGTGTGAACAATATATGTTGCTGTTGTCGACGTACAGAAGAAAAAAAAAACGTCGGGTGAAGCATGTTTTACGCGGTCAAAAATGAGGATGATGATGATACTTCGATGTATAGAGTCTCCAAAAACACGAAAGGACCCATGATCCAACGATGCAGTATCAGGCGGCTATGCGGGATTCGCTTTGACCAGGCCGCTGTGAGACTTGGGGTAAAGAAATAATTGAATGTTTGTTCTACTCTAGCTTTAAATATGAAGTGTCTATAAGGCCAAGGTGTGTTTAGCACCGCAGCATGAGCTTCCTAGGTGAATGGGTCTTTCAAATTGTCATGTACGTGAGTTCCGGTCTGGTGAAGGCGAGCGGGCTGAACATGAATACATAAAATTGAAATAATAAAACACAGAGGACAAGCAAAGTGGTTGTCCTGTGCTTGTCCTCTGTGTTTTATTTTTTTTTTTTCAATTTTATGTGTTCCGGTCTATTTCTCGTTTCTGCCATCACACGTCTGATATTGCGGAAGACGCCTTGCAATGATCGAAAGTTTTCTGCAAGTAACTAGTGAGATAAGTACAAGTTTTCTTTGTGTGTGTGTGCGCGCGTCTACATTTTCACGTTATTCACCCTTTTGTGTGTGTGTGTGTGTGTGTGTCACGGGATTAAAAGATCGTGCCCAGTTGCGTGACTTGTTACATCGCCGTAAACTTTCCCGCCTAAACAATCTTCCAGAAACTCTTATCACCATGAATCGCTCCACGATCACTTCTTTCCAGCACCTCATTATTTTCACACGCCGGGATCACTCAATAAAGTTGAACGCGTCAGATACCACTCATCTTATTATGAAAAATCATTCGTAACGCGAACAGTCATCGAATGGAAAAACCTACTAGCACACACACTGCGACTGAAGATAGTTTACCGTTATTTCATGAATTCGTGTGCAGTAATAATGGCATCCACCTTTTCTCCCGTTGTCTACTTAAATGTATAATAGTATTCTTTATGTTTATCTTATTAATCTAATCACTTCAACTCGTTTTGGTACATTTTGTTTTGATGTCATGCTTAGATTATTTGTTTCATCACTTTTCTGTATTGTTCTATACTTTTGTCCTCCCCTTCCCCTCTATGCTTTTTGGGGTATTCTAAATAAATAAATGAATAATAAATAAAGTTTACAGCGACGTCTAGACAGAATGCATTTTATGCGTCTAAAGCCGGGGTCAAACTGCTCATCCATCATACAAAAGACTGTCTACTAACACGAATCACCGCAATATCCATGGTTCAAATGGCACCGTGCTAGGTTCCCCCTTGAACTCATTGCCATGCGGCATTCGAATCACGGATCTCGCGGTGATTCGCGTTCAAATCTGTATGCAGACTTTTTTTTTTTTTTTTTGTATGATCTCAATTTAATGAGCACGTTCCGATTACTTCGTGTTGCTCACTGATAATAAAAGGCTGCCCTGAAATAATATTAGAAACACGTCAGAATAAGCCTCCAACAATTTGAATAAATTCGTCTTTAACTGGCTTTAGTGTGATGAGCAGAACATATTTTTAACAGGTTAAGGACGTCCACACAACTGCTCCCCGTTACCTAAAAGGAAATCATTAAAGTATCTATAGTTACTGCCTTGATATTATTACGCACTGCTCGCGATGTTCCTTAAAACGAATAGAATTACTAGTTGCTGTTGTTTTTTTGTTTTTTTTTTCTAACCACTAGAACGTCTAAGCTCGTGCAAAACGTGTTGGACAATTAATTTTACAACAGACAAAAAAAACTAGACACTGACTCATCGTGAGCCAAACTTCCAAAAGATAGCGTGGCACACGTTGCGAAGCCTCTCAAGCGAGCAGGGCCAAGAAAGCACCCGCGCAGGGGACCAACTCTGCAAATCCAAACACACACAAACAGAGGCGTGTAATACGCACCCCTGGGGCCACATAATACACACACTCGCAGCCTCACTCACCCGCCAGGCATCCCAAAGCCAAGAGGCACACAATCCAGGCGCAGCCCATTTCCAACGTGTCTGAGAACGAGCGGCGAGCTCCGAGCGTCCAAGTCGCGACGTCTCCCTCTGCAGCACTGGCGGTGGGGGGGACCTCCCGGTTGCTTGACCTTCAGATAAACTTCGTCGGGATCGCGATGATATTTCCCTGACGCTCGATCCCGCCGCTGATAGGCGCCGCTCAAAGTTCGTCGGGCAGATCGTCGTGGCCGCGACCATCGCTACTCAAGAGGCCGCACAGCACCGTCGCGGCGTCCCATGCCTCCTGTCGCGCTGCTTCCACGAAAACGCACTGCGCGCGTCGGGGACCACGCGCCTCTTCTTCGAGTCCAGCGTCTTCTGGAGGCGCCTGGAGACCCGGTAGACGTCTGGCCGTCTAGCGTCCGGAGGAAAGCTGACCTTGACTCTCGCGTTTGGGGAGTGAGGGGGCAGCCAGGGTGGACCGTCCAGGGGGGAACCCAAAAGCTTCGGCAGATGGAAGGGGGAGGGGGGCCACCGTCTTCGAGCGGCGAAAAAAAAAAAGGCCAAAGCGGTCCTGCAAGTTCGGAGGCTGCTGAGTCCTTCCGGGTGAGGAGGCGGGCGCGGACGGGCAAGGAAAAGCAACGGCACTCACGCGGGCAACGCGCTCCGATGCACTTGGCTCTTGCCGAGTTCCTCCCTCCGCCGTGGCTCCTGGTGCGCTAGAAGCACGCGACGAGGGGACCACCGTTGCTTCGCGGCGTCATCATCGGAGCTTTTTTTTTTTTTTTTTCCCGCGTCTGGGTTTGCTCCGGGGCGTGTTGCTCCTCTGAGGCGAGGACGTCGGAATGTCGATGCTAATTCAGTGGTCCGCTCAGCCGAGACCTTTCGGCGGGAGCTTCGACGGGGAAGGCGGCGGCAAGCGGACGTGAGCGAGAGGGGGAGCGGAAGTTTCGGGACCATGAGCGCGCGTGCCGCGAGAAATGACTCTGCACGAGTGGGATCAATGGGGCGGAGAGAGAGCAGCTCCGTGCCCCCCTTCTTGCGGCCGCTCTGGCGTGCAGCATCATCGAGCGCCAAGGTCATCTCAATCGGCCCGCCTCGGCTGGCCGGATAGCGGTCGGCTGCGGGGCGGATGGATGACAGTTGTATTTTGACGGAGATCAATACGAGCGCAAAGATGTTCTACACATTGTTTGGTTTGGTGATTGCGGGGGACCATGAAACGACGAAGACGAATTCGGATAAAATGGGATAAGGAAAAGGAAAACACCAATTGGGCTTTTTTTGTTTTCTGGTTGTGAGCTATGCAAGGCTTCCAGTTTTCTGGTTAACAAAACAGGATTGCATTTGAAGTACTAAGTAGGTTTAGCGAACTTGTACTTTCCTTGAAGTACTGTCTTTAGGTGTGTACTGTACTTAAAGTATTTTTTTCTGGTACCCCCCTTTCGGGGCAGACTACAACCACTCCCGACTTCAAAGTACTTACATGCTTCACAATCCGTGAAACCTTTTTGCCATGATAGGGGTGCATAAGGCAGCTTCCTATAAACACAATGGTTGACAGAGGGCACAAAAAAATGTCTTTTCGGCAAGCTGAGACTACTCTGTTGTTTTCGGCATCCTCTGCTAAATCTTTTCTTCGGTTGAGATGCGGATTTGTCTTGTCACAAAATCGCTAGAAAATTTCCAAGCTGCCGAGTGCCCACAGGAGCGAGCTTTCACAGACGGTCTCTTTTGTAGTTTTCAGGAGGCAATAATTATACTCCGTATGTTCTGTAAAGCGCTGAGAAAGGCACGGGAACAAGTGTTTCCATTTGGGCAGTGCCTTCTTGCACTCGGTGAAAATTAAGCTATTTCAATGAACAGGCGCTCGCCTTCTTGGCTTCCCAGTACTATACTACACAACTTCTGAGGTCGAGTATAAGAGCTCACCAACCTCCAACAAAAATATGGCGAATCGTCATCATGTGAAAACGTGCTATCATTTTTCGAGACGTCATCCGGTAATTTCTCTGAGTGAAGTAATGGCGGCTATAAGACCGAAACAAATGACTGCATTATCAGTTGATTGTGTTAAACAGTTCGTAAGCGAGAGCAGAACAACTATTCTGTGGCCACTTGACTTTATCAAATATTATCCGCCATTTCCAAAAATGACTGATGCACCTTCGATTAACCCTGGGGCAACGCCTATCAGTTTAAAAATTAAAAAAAAAAAACACTATATAGGAGAATGAAAGGGCATGAGAGATTGTGTTAAAAAGTGCTTGTACTTTACTTTGCAAGTGCATTACGTATTTATGATGCTTTACTTCAAGTATACACTGTGCCCGGTGTACTTACTACTTACTACTATAGCGTCTAATTTACGTTGTACTTTTCATCAACTACTTTTTTAATGTACTTTACCCAACACTGGCAACGCAAAGTTTTATGTTATGGCATACTGGCGCTAAACACACCAATACACGTATAACTCCTGAAAGGATTTTCTTAGATCGGCAGAATAAGAAGTAACATTGTGTTACTCATTCCGCGCGTGCTATTTTATCTGTGGCATCTCAAGTAAGTAAGCCTTTTAGTTTGTTATATTGAAGTTTGCACCGCGGGAAGTTCCGGTTCCCCAAGGGACGTCAGATGTCTCTGCTGTAGACGCAAAAGCCAGCCAGTGGAGTGCTGCTAGCCTGGGGTCTGTGCATCACGCGGCAGTGATACGCGAACGCACTCCGATGCGATGCTCGTCCAAATCTGACATCTTGGTATGCACTAAGAGTTGACAGGACAGAAGGCAGACGTTTTCAAGTATACGAGATAAGAATGGAAAGCAAACCGAAAACACTTGATGGTATTCACATTCCTGCACATTCTCTTGCGGTTTTGCAAAGCTGCTCGTTTATTTACGCCACGTTTAAGGAAATGTAATCGGTATACTCGTAAGTCATGAGTAGGCAAAGTAAAAATACCAATTTTATGTTCGGGAATATACACCCGGCGAGTAATCGTGTTGGGAACCAAATATATTGAAGAGCCTAGAAGTTTGGGCTGGTTGGTATGCAGACATAATTAAAAACAAAACAGCGCAAAGACGAGGACAAAGTAAAAGGTAACCGACGGGACACAGCGCTGTCGGTTACCTTTTACAAAGTATTAAAAAAAATTAACCGACGGAACGCAGCGCTGTCGGTTACCTTTTACAAATTATTAGCAGCGCTGTGTACTGTCGGTTACCTTTTACTTTGTCCTCGTTTTTGCGCTGTTTTGGTTTTAATTATATATTGAAGAAGGTGGTTCCAACCAATGCATCCAGTTAACGGGGTTACATATAGATGAAAAGCAGATAAACGGCTTTTGATTTCTAATATACAAGCGAATAGTGTTAATGGGTACTCGATTATGCTAGGGTATATTCTAAATGAAGCGCAGCTAATAATTCGTGTGTATCGTAATTGTGTCCAAAACATTTCATTACATGAGCGTGTTACAAAAATAACAGTTCGGCGCAATTTCCATTAAAGTTTCTTCATTATTGCGGGTAAGTTTGCGCGTATAAGCACTTCCACAGTTGCAAAGGGCACAGCAGTCGACGCTAAGTTATTTAGGCAGGTGAACACATAATTGCGGTTGTGTGGATATTTTGACAGCGTGTAGTTGGTCAGCCTTTTCAAAGTACTTTGTTGCAGGACGATGTTTGTTCTGTGTAAAACTGGTGCAGCTTAGGCCATCTTCTCCCCAAACCCAGAAAACTCGATTGATCTGCCTGCCGAGAAAGGGTTGCGCTTTATTCATTATATATATATATATAAATATATATATTTGTTTTTTTAGAAAATGAAGTCATAAGTCGAATCGCATGGGTACGGGATCTAGGTCTTCTTTTGAAAGATCATCTATTTGTGTTGTTGTGTAAATTCCATTGTTAGCCAGTCTCTGCACACGTTGGAAAAATGTCTCGTCTTAAGTATATTATTAAGCAACCACCATTGTATTTTAAGATTTTACAGTGCTCATGTGCGCCCGAGACTTAAATTTGCATCTGTGGTTTGGAACTGTCATTTTCTATGTCAGTAAATAAAAATATTAAACGCATACAAAACAAAACAAACAAAAAATTGTGCGCAACATCTACGACAGACATTTTAGTCGACATTTTCCTTATGAATGTAATTCAATTTTAGTCAAATTTAAACTGCGCACCTTGTACGACAGGTCTCTTCAAGATCTTAAATTTTTGCATATGCTAATTAAGGGTTCAATAGAGAGTCCAACGCTCCTTGCTTCCACTAACTTTCGCGTCCCTGTTAACGCAAATTCTAGAAATGTCTAAGCATTTTACCCAGATCTTTGAAGCTACTCAACACAAATGTTACAAATCACTTTTTTTATATATACGCAGTGTTTTAACAGTGATATGTTTTGTGCAGATTTGCGCTATTATAGGAACCAGAATTTATGCATGGTGTTAACTTATTTGTATATACATGTTTCTGTGCTTTACCGTGAGGCCACTCACGCTGTTTGTAAGCACATAATAATAGATATTGATTGATAGATGTACATTGATGAAACAATTTAAGTTGAGTGCCTCTTATTCCGTGACGTGGAAGGTCATTAAAAATATACCGTGTTTAAAGTTGCTGTGAAACGATATCGAGTAGGAAAGTTTCTCACCTTACACCAGCTTACTTCCACTAGTGGGACCCAAGAATACTCGAAAGCAACTTCACTGATGAAGAAGCGTCTTCGTCGCGGTGGAATTCCAAGAATAAAAGCGAACCCTTTCTTTCAGACTCTCCTTCCAAAACTTGATGACGGAGCTGTGGGAACAATGCCAACACTGCGATCATTAGGAGTGCGTCATGAAGCTTTGCGATCCCCGCTGTGACGATATTTACATGCTTCTCATACAGTGAACACAAAGACTGCGTAGGCATTCGATTTTGGCTCGTCACAAGCGATTCCTCGACATGAATAGACCGATCTCACCAAGCGTTCGACGCATGCGCGAGGCAGCCATAATTTTTAGTTCACAGGAGGCAATCGGCAGTGCACGCGTCTGTTCGTGCCCTGCACGCGCTGAGCTCCAGCGAGGTTGTCGCACGTGCAGAGTACCCTCGATGCATTGCGGCAGCGGTGGCGTAATCAAACTGGCTGGTGAGATCGGTCTATTCGGGTAGTGACTCGCGCCCAAACGCCGGGATGACGGCAATAGTCGAACCACAACATGCAATGTGCGACCTCAGCGCGCGCCCTGTGCTCTGCCAACGCCAACGCGTTGCTATGTTAAAAACATTCGGATCACGCGGCCGTTTTTTTCTGACTGCGAGTTGAGGGTGTAAACAGTGCTCGTTTTTCTCAGATTGTTTCTGCGAATAACACTGCGTAGAAAAAAAAAAAAGAAAGATGTTTACAAATTTTTGTAATGCGAAATTAGATCGCTCTTGAGGTACGGATGAGGAGGAGGAGAGGAGGGCATGGCTGGAGGAGGGGAGGGTACGTGGGAGGAGGGGAGTGTACGGAGGGGGAGAACAGGAGGCCGTACGCTCTCCTCCTCCGTACCCTCCCCTCCTCCTCCTCCGTACCCTCCCGTCCACCTCCGGTTACGCCGACGGCGACGACGACGGCGACGCCGCAAAACAGGGGAGTGAGCGCCTAAGAGCTGCGCTCTAAGAAAAAAAGCAAAGTGTGTTTCATAGGTCGTAAATATCAAGGAATAATTCTAAGTGGTATTCATTGAAAGTAAAAAAATTGCAAACCCGGTGAAACAACACTCGTGCCTAACCACGAGACTGTCAAAAATCGCTGTAAGCGTTTAAGTCTTTCTTTCTAATTATCATTGTACAAGGAGCGGGCCCCCGATAAATGTAGTGTTTCTTTCCACCGCAAAAATAAACTACGCATCGTCGAACGCTCATTCACCGCCC